GCGGAGAGGGTCTGTGTAGCCTGCCCCCTTCCCCCCTCTTCCCCCAGGGCACCCCCCCGCGCCGGGCACTGGCGGTGCCCCCCCCCAGACCATGCCAGCCAGTGCCACCACTGGGGCAGACGCTGGGCCGGTACCTGCGGGCACTGGAGGGGCTGCTGGAGCCCTCTGAGCTGGAGGAGACGCGGGCACTTGTGGCCAACTTTGAGGCCCCCGGGGCCGAGGGGCCGCGACTCCAGGCCCAGCTGGAGCGCCGCGCTGCCCGCACCAGCAATTGGGTGCGCCGGGGACCCAGGCGTCCAGGGTAGTGGGGGGGATGTAGAAGCTTGGGGGGCCATGAGGGTGACCCAGGAGGCCGGGAGCCCGCAAGGGGTGGCAGGGTTGGAGGGGAGGAACCCGGCTGATGGGGGAGGGGGACCCAGGTGTGGGGTGGGGGTAGGGAGGGGCTGGGGGGGACCCAGCAGTCAGGGAAGGGGCTGGGAGGGCACCCAGGCGGTGTCCAGTGTAGAGGGAGGGGGCTGCTGGAGGTCTGGTCTGAGCCCCCAACCCTGTTGTCTCCCCCCTGACAGCTGTCAGAGTGGTGGGTGCAGAGCTCCTTCTTGGAAGCCCGCTTGCCCCTGCCTGTGCACTCGAACCCGGCACTTGTCCTGCCCAAACAGGACTATGGCAACTGGCATGGGCAGCTCAGGTGGGCTGTGGGTCGGGAGTGAGGGGCATCAGAGATGTTGGTGGGATGAGGGCTGTGGATCAGGAGTGAGGGGCACTGTGTATGGTGGGGGCTGCAGGTTGGGAGCGAGAGGCACTGCCTGGGCTGGGGGGCAGGGGGCTGTGGGTTGGGAGTGAGGGGTACCGGCCAGGCTGTGACCCCCCTCCCCTCCCCCCCATCAGGTTTGCAGCCAAGCTGATCGCCGGGGTCCTGGATTTCAAGGCCAAGATTGACCAGTGAGTGTCTGACCCCAGAAGGCAGGGTGGGTGTGGCATTTGGGAGCCCAGGGGATTCTGGGTAGTGTGGGGAGGTTGTGGGAGGGGCAGAGGGATTCTGGGAGGTGATGGGGGGCTAGTGTGGGGGGGTCCAGAGTGGTTCTGGGTAGTGGGACACCCAGGGGGTTTCTGCGTAGTGGGCAGGCCCAGGAGTGCCATGGAGTTCGTGGGAGCTCAAGGGATTGTGGGTAGCTCCCTGACCCATTCCCCCACCCCAGTGGTGCGCTGCTGGCGGAGTACCAGGGCGGGCACCCACTGTGCATGGCACAATACGGGCGCGTCTTCGGTGCCTGCCGTGTGCCGGGGCCCAAGCACGACGGGCTTCTCCTGCCCCCCCCGGGGCGCCGGCCCCCAACCCACATCACCGTCGTGCGCAACTTCCAGGTACCCCCACTTGGGGTAATGGGAAGGAGGCTGAAGGGGAAGGGGGCTGTGGAGTGATGCAAGGATTCTGGGTAGTGAGAAGGGCTGAGAGACCAGGGGGATTCTGGGTAGTTGGGGGGAGGGGCGCGTGACCCAGAGGTTTCTGAGTAGTAGGGAGGCCCAGGGGGATTGTGGGTTGCGGTGGGGGCTCTGAGGGTGCCCAGGGGTATTCTGGGTAATAGGAGTCTCTGGGATGACCCAAAAGATTCTGGGTATTAGGGTGGGGTCCAGGGGAATTCTGGGTAGCAGGGGGCACTGGGGTGACCTAGAGGATTCTGGGTACGAGGACGGCCCGCATGCATTCTGGGTATTAGGCTCTGGGGCAACCCAGAGGCTTCTGGGTAGGAGAGAGGCGCAGCATGGTCCTGGATAGTGATGGGGGCTGTGAGGGGTGTCCTGGGGCACTCTGGGTAGTAGGGGGGGCCCAGGGGAATCTTGGGTAGCAGTGGGGGATATGGGGATGTCCAAGGGCATTTTGGGTAGTGGGCACCCCTGGCATGACCCAGAGGATTCTGGGTAATAGGGGGATCCAAGAGCATTTTGGGTAGTAGGTGGCTCTCAGGTGACCCAGAGGATTCTGAGTAAGAGAGGGGCCCATGTGGATTCTGGGTATTAGGCTCTGGGGTGACCTACATGCTTCTGGGTAGGAGAGAGGGCCAGGGTGGTTCTGGGTAGTGGTGGGGGCTGTGAGGGAGCCCAGGGGACTTGGGTAGTGGTGGGAGATGTGGGGATGCCCAAGGGCATTCTGGGTAGTGGGAGGATCTGGCGTGGTCCAGAGGTGTCTGGGTAGCGGGGGTCCCACGTGCCCCTATCCCCAGTTCTTTGAGGTGGAGGTGTACAACAGCGACGGGACGCCACTGACCGTGGACCAGCTGCACATGCAGCTCCAGCGCGTCCGGGCGCAGTCCTGGAAGACAGACAAGGAGCCACTGGGGCTGCTGACCAGTGACCACCGCCACACGTGGGGCCTGGCCTACACCACCCTCATGCGAGGTACCCCGCCCCCCGGGGAGGGACTTCCTGTTGTGGGGTGAGCAGGGCAGAGGGTCTTCCTGTTTTGGGGATGCCCATGGAGGTGGGACTTCCTATTTTGGGGTAAGCTGGGGAGGATCACCTTTTGTGGGGTGATCAACTTCCTGTTTTGGGATGTGTAGGGGAGGTGGGACATTCTTTTGTGGGGTTTGCTAGGGGGGAGGGACTTCCTG